GACATGGCTTTTCCAACAAGCGGGCCTGACCTAGGGTGAATTTTAAATAGGGATAATTTTTAATGATTTTAAATAGTCACAGCCACTAATATTTGGATTTTAATTGGTTTTTAGAAGGGGTAATTCTGTATACTGTTTTAACATGCTGTGAGCCGCCCTGAGTCCCATGGGGAGAAGGGCGGCATATAAATTTTGTAAATAAATAAATAAATAACAGATCAAAGATATGGAAAGAAGTAAAAATTCAGTAAAGAAATGGAGATAGAGAATTTTTCCAGCCATTAAATGGTAGCAGATTTCTTAATTTGAAAATAAAGTAAGAAAAGATGGCAGATTAATGCCAACAAATGGAGTAATGCCTCTCTTTTAGCTATCTAGGAATGACATTTTATTAGTCCTGCAGATGGGAAAAGAGGTGTGGGCAATATCCTTAAGTTCTTTATTTCAGAGGAGGGCAATTAATATATTGTAGAGCAAGGTGACAACTCAGATATTTATGGAGCCAAGATAGGTGTTGGCATGAGTGGGTTATTACTCAATTGGACGTAATCCAAAATAACTTCATGGGGAAGATTCTAGGCTTCTCCAGGGAATCCCGTCTGCTTATCTAATTCTCTGCTCTTTGGGGAAATTTTAGTTCTTGAAACAGAAAATTTCAGAGAAAGCCTTCTTGAAAAGAATGCTGATAAATATCCGATTGTGGTCAGGATATTTTCATCCTGATAAGCACCCTGTTGAACAGCATCTCTGTCCCTGTGTGGTCTGTCAAGGGGAAAATATTATTGTATCTGTACTCTACTACCCAGCTTACAATGAAATCGGGGCCAAACTACTAACAGTAGGTGAGCTCAAGGGCTTGGACCTCAAATGACTGAATTTTATTTTGCTTTGTTGCATTTTATGCTCTGCCACATTGCTCTGACCTAAGAATAAAAGCTTAAGAAAAGCCAATAAAGGGTTCAAGCTAAGAAGAGCCAAAGTTCTTTGGTCTGAAGGCCCCAGTCAGCCAGGAAGCCTGAAAGATAAGATTCCTCTTGGACTGCCAAAACGCAGAGATGCTGAGGCCAGCACAGCAGGAGTAACTGTAACTCAGGCACAGAGCTGAGGATTCCCCTGGCAGACTCTGGAATCAACATACTCGTCCCTGAATGAGCCTGTCCATGAGGCCTAAACTCTTGTCAGAATAAGGTCTATGAGATCAAGCTTTTATCAATTGTTTTCAAACAAGGAATTAAGGGCTGCCTTTTATAGAACACACTCTACGACATCAGAGAATCTCACCTGCGGAAAATGGCATGAATGCATCCCTTTTCACAAATTTTCCTTCAGAGTCAAGAAAATGCCCAGGATAGAAGTCATGAGGCTTCTCCCACTGAGATTCATCATGGAGCACAGAAGTCAGCAAGGGAATGATNATCCCGTCTGCTTATCTAATTCTCTGCTCTTTGGGGAAATTTTAGTTCTTGAAACAGAAAATTTCAGAGAAAGCCTTCTTGAAAGAATGCTGATAAATATCCGATTGTGGTCAGGATATTTTCATCCTGATAAGCACCCTGTTGAACAGCATCTCTGTCCCTGTGTGGTCTGTCAAGGGGAAAATATTATTGTATCTGTCCTCTACTGCCCAGCTTACAATGAAATCGGGGCCAAACTACTAACAGTAGGTGAGCTCAAGGGCTTGGACCTCAAATGACTGAATTAGGTTATGTTAGATGTGTTTCAAACCATTAGAATTCAGGGTTCTGTTTTTGCTTTGTTGTCATTTAAACTTAGAAAGATTTTTTTAAATTGTACTTAATTGTAGCTCTGGTTTAATTTTAATCCAGTTCCCTTCTCTCTAACACTCTTATTTTATTTTGCTTTGTTGCATTTTATGCTCTGCCACATTACTCTGACCTAAGAATAAAAGCTTAAGAAAAGCCAATAAAGGGTTCAAGCTAAGAAGAGCCAAAGTTCTTTGGTCTGAAGGCCCCAGTCAGCCAGGAAGGCTGAAAGGCAAGATTCATGCTGGACTGCCAAAACGCAGAGATGCTGAGGCCAGCACAGCAGGAGTAACCCTAACTCAGGCACAAAGCTGAGGATTCCCCTGGCAGACTCTGGAATCAACATACTCGTCCCTGAATGAGCCTGTCCATGAGGCCTAAACTCTTGTCAGAATAAGGTCTATGAGATCAAGCTTTTATCAATTGTTTTCAAACAAGGAATAAAGGGCTGCCTTTTATAGAACACACTCTATGACATCAGAGAATCTCACCTGCGGAAAATGGCATGAATGCATCCCTTTTCACAAATTTTCCTTCAGAGTCAAGAAAATGCTCAGGATAGAAGTCATGAGGCTTCTCCCACTGAGATTCATCATGGAGCACAGAAGTCAGCAAGGGAATGATGTACGTACCCTAAAAATTGAATGGAAAAAAAAAGTATATGAAAAGGAGTATGTCCTCTTAATACATGGCTATAATATATTATATATTATTCTAGTGATTTTTAAAATATTATTGGGCCTGCAGCAACATTCAATTTCTAACTAAATTTTAAAAATTGTGTTTTATTTATATATATATAGGCAAATTAATCGACTATCAGCTGGACCAATTCTAAATTCTATACTGAATCATTATACCTTAAACTTGTGGACTCAAAATGCAGGACCCAAAACAAATAATAAAGACTTACCGAAGAGAAGCAGATGAGGGCAAAATAAAAAAAATGAAACTAGAGGAAAGCATCTCCCATAAATCAAGAGGTGGGGGCAGTTTGGGAATGCCAGATACCAAAGAAAAACATCTGCCATTGGCACTTTGAAATATGCATCTAGGAGTGTTTTTCTAAAGGGATAACAGGCTGTGGTCTTATAGCTCTACAGATCAACTTGATTTAGCCAAGTCCATTCATTTAAGGACTCATTTTTCCACCACACTGTAGTGTACATGATAGATTAGATCTTATACAATGCAGTGATTTTAGACTGATCACCTTGGGGATGAGGAAGCCTTTGAAAGTTACGTCCATGATGGTTGCATGTGGCAAATTGGTGGGAACAATGTCAGCAAACCTTTGAACTTTGTGAATTTGAACTTCATTAGTGTAAGGCATTTTGCTTGGTGGTCTGTCTGTTGCTGAGAAACTTCAATCTCTTTTGCAATTATTTTTTTCTGTTGTATTTTTTTTCACTTACCTCTTGTGTATTTTTATACTATATGTTTCTGTTTGTTATTTTTTCTTTTTCTGTTATTATTTTAAAGAAAATAAAAGTAAGTAACAAAAACTGCACTTTACTAAAATTCTGTCTTGTGTGTTAAAAAAAGGCTAGGCCTTGTCTCATGCAGAAATTTCAGACTGATCACCTTGGGGATGAAGAAACCCTTGAAAGTTACATCCATGGTGGTTGCATGTGGCAAATTGGTGGGAACGATGTCAGCAAACCTTTGAATTTCATGAATTACGGCATCGGTATGAGGCATTTTTGCTCTGTCTTCTGTCATTGGCTGGAGGTCGCCAATCTCTTTTGCAATTTCTTCTTGGACTTTACCTGGGAGAATAAAATGACAAATATTACACCTTTCTGAATTTTGTTTTAAATGGGAGGTTATAAATACTACATTCTGAATGATATAGTAGTCATTCACTGTGATTTTTGGATTGTGGCCCTTCAAACAGTCACTCATGCATTAGTCACTTCATTAATGGAATATTGTAATCTGCTCTACGTGTGGCTTTCTTGAAGATCACTCAGTGACTATACCTGGCCCAGTATCTGGCAGCGTAGATAGTGTTTGTGCCTCATTATACCCATATGAGCTCATTGGACTAACTGTGGCAGACTTCTGAGTGCAATTCAACTATTAATAACATTGGACAAATTGAAACAGTTTGGGTCCATCAATTAATGGTGGGACTCCAGGAAACGTGCCATCTCAGAACATGCTATACATGTGGCTTTCTTGAAGATCACTCAGTGACTATGCCTGGCACAAAACAAAAGGCCGATTATATATTTATTTTTAATGATTTTTTAAAACTTCTATTGTATTGTATTAAATTGTTTTTAACTGGCTGTAAGCCGCCCTGAGTCCTACGGGAGAAGGGCGGGGTATAAATTTAATAAAATGAAAATGAAAATGAAATGAATAAGATTGAAAAGTTAAATTCAAAATTATATGTGATGGATCAAAGGCACTGTAGAATTATGGATTGATTTAAGGATTAAGATTTAGAATTAGAAGTAAGAGAAAAATAGGTGATTATTAGAATATATATTTTAAACAGATTAAGAATGTATTCTTTGGAATAATAGGTTTATTTGTATGAAAACTATTATATAATGGAATGAAGAAAACTGAAGAGGCGTTTTAGATCTGGATTGATTTAATAACTAATTGAGTATGTTAAATTAGTAAGATGATGTTTTTGTCTGATAATATGGACGTTATTAGGTATGATAATTAACTGGATGAAATTTGAATTTGGTCCAATGGGCTGAAACAATTTAAGGTTTGATATTATTTTGTTATTTTGTTATCTTAAAGAGATTGATTGATTGATGGATTATATATGTATAGGATAGACTAATATTTTACTTTAATTAGGAGATATATTGTGTAGTGGAAGAAGAAATAAATGAGATTTGTGATAAAATTAAGGATTTAAGAGATTGAGATCTACAATATATCTGGAAGGAATACCTGAATTGATAATCTGTTTCTTTAAGGTCAAATTTGATTATGCTAATTGTAAATTCACAAAGCTCTAAAACAGGTTTAGGATTTTTAGAAATTTAAATTAGAAATGGATTATCTTAAATGTATTAGGTTAATTGAGGGAAATAGAGAGAGAATATTTAATGTATTGATTTGAGTTATTCATATATGGTTTTATTTCTGGATGTTTGTTTACCCCAGCACCACAGTGTGTCTTAAGCATTTTGTTTTAAAAATCAAAAAAACCAATAAAATTTGTTTTAAAAAAAAAATTAGGAAAGATTCCATGGATGGAAATCCTAAAGGGGAAAACAACTCAAAAAGCTTGGGGAACTCTGAAAAATGGGATTATAAAAGCCCAGTCTAGCACAATACCATTGAGAAAGAAAAATAAGGGACCCCAGATGAAAGCAGCATGGTTGTATAAACAACTCTTTGATAAACTGAGAGACAAAATGGACAAGCATAAAAAATGGAAACAGGGACACATTACTAAAGCAGAATACCAACAAATAGCTCAATATAGCAAAAACAAAGTCAGGAAAGCTAAGGCTCAAAAAGAACTAAGATGTGCAACAAATGTCAACAATAAGTTTAAAAAGCTTCTTTCAAAATGTAAAAAAAACAAGAAAAAAGCCAAGGAAATAATCAGTTCACTAATATGAGAAGATGGCAAGAAGATGATAGATAGCAGGGAGAAAATGTAACTGCTTAATTGATACTTTGCATCTGTCTTTGCACAAAAGGAAATAAATAGTCCAACTTATCAAAAGAAGAACCATAAAAGACAAAATAGGAATACAAATAAAAATAGGCAACAAAATAGTTAGAGAACACCAATCCACTCTATAGATCAATTCAGATCACCAGGATCAGATGGATTACATCCCAGGGTTCTGAAGAAGCTGGCAGCTGTATCTTGGAACCACTGAAAAATATCCTTCAAAGATCTTGGATCAACAGGGAACTATTAGAGGCCTAGAAAAGAGCTGATGTGATGGTCATCTTCAAAATAAGGGGGGGGGGGAGGATCCAGGAAATATACAGGCTAATCTGCCTGACATCAATACCTGATAAGTTCCTGGAAAAGATAATCAAGCATTTTATCTGAAAACACTTAGAAACAAGCAAAGCTATTACTAGAAGCTTTTATGGGTTTCTCAAAAACAGATCATGCCAGACAAATCTTATTGCATTCTGGAATTGCATCTACATGGAGTGAAGTATGCAGCAGGTACTCCAACAAGGTTCAGTCTTAGGCCTAATACTCTTCAACATCTTCATAACTGATATGGATGAAGGGACAGAAGACGAATTCATCCAATTTGCAGATGACACCAAATTAGGGGGAATAGCCAACACTTTAGAACAGGTGTGTCAAACTCAATTTCATTGAGGGCCACATCAGCATTGCGGTTGCCCTCGGGGGGCTGGGTGGGTGCGGCCTACTGGGTGGGCGTGGATGGAGTGGATGTGGCCTACTGGGTGGGCATGGCCAGCTCATTTGCATCAAGGGTACCTGTGGGGGCCTGGGTAGGAGTGGGACAGATCTGAGGGTCTCTGGCAGAAGGGGGTGGGACCAAGGCATGGTCCATTTCTTCATTCCTCACAAAGGGTGACACCTCCCCAGCATGCACCCAGGGGGCGTGGCCGATGCAGCAGGGGCTGGTTCCTCGCTGTTTCTAGACGGCTTTGTGGAGCTAAGACTGAATACGTTTCAGCATAGATGGCCACCACAAAATTGTACATTGGCTCTCGGCCAGCCTGGGCCAGGGCCAAGGCAGTGGAGGCTGTTCCCTCACTGTTTCCAGGATGGCTTTGCGAGCCACATGAAACCACTTCGTGGGCCGCATCCGGCCCCCGGGCCTTGTGTTTGACATGTCTGCTTTAGAAGATAGGCTCAAGATCCAGAAGAATCCTGACAGACTTGAACACTGGGCCCTCTTCAACAGAATGCAATTTATTGCTGAGAAAAGTAAGGTACTTTTCAAAAGTACTCAGGCAAGAAAAGCAGTGACCATGAGACAAGGAGGTCTCTTATCTCCCCTGCTGTATTTATTGGTGTTGGAAGGTTTGAATAAGGATATTAGGCGAGATGAGAAAGTAACAGGTATAAATATAAAAAAGGAAGTTTATAAACTGACAATTATAAATTATTTATTTATAAATTGTTGACAATTTAGTTATATTTTTGCAAGACCCCAAACCAATATAGAATATTTGTGTTTGGAGCTTTAGCAGGCTTCAAATAAAATAAAATAGAAAACAATGTTTACTTATACAATAAAATAATAATAATAATAATAATAATAATAATAATAATAATAATAATAATAATAATAATAATAATAATAATAATAATAATAATAATAAAGTTGGAAGGGACCTTGGAGGTCATCAAGTCCAACCCCCTGCTCAGGTAGGTAACCCTATACCATTTCGGACAAATGGCCATCCAGTTTCTTCTTAAAAACTTCCAGTGTTGGAGCATTCACTGCTTCTGGAGGCAAGTTGTTCCACTGGTTAATTGTTCTAACTGTCAGGAAGTTTCTCCTTAGTTCTGGCTTGCTTCTCTCCTTGATTAGTTTCCATCCATTGCTTCTTGTCCTGCCTTCAGGCGCTTTGGAAAATAGCTTGACTCCCTCTTCTTTGTGGCAGCCCCTGAGATATTGGAACACTGCTATCATGTCCCCCCTCGTCCTTCTCTTCATTAAACTAGACATACCCAATTCCAGCAACTGTTCCTCATATGTTTTAACCTCCAGTCCCCTAATCATCTTTGTTGCTCTTCTCTGTACTCTTTCTAGAGTCTCAACATCTTTTTTACATCATGGTGACCAAAACTGGATACTCCACTTAAACAATGGCAGATGGACATCTCTAAGTTTATATGGCAAGAGGGAAAAAAAACAAGAATGGGATATAAATTACTGCAAGATGCTAAAAAAAAGGGGGGGGGAGGTTGGGGTTTACCAGTTTTGAAATTATAGTTTGATGCCTGTTGTTTGGTCTTACTAAAAGTGTGGGTGACACTCCAAAATAAAGAAGGGCATGAATTAGGATTTGGATGGCATGGCTATTTATGGTATTATTAGGTAAAAGTAAATGTTGATTTCAATAATTACTTTGTTAGATGTGCTAACCCAGTCATGGTGAACCTTTTAGAGACCGAGTGCCCCAAAACTGGCCCCGTCCCTGCTCCACCCCCTGCCCCATCCCTGCTCCACCCTCTGCCCCGCCCCCACCCCGCCCCTGCTCTGCCTACCCACAGGGCCACTCACCGCTACTAGGGCCCACCGCAGATCGCCCAGGCAGCCCAACAGCACCATGGCGGCCATGCCCTCTGCCCACGCCCCGCAGCATCAACTGTGTGCGATGGAGTGTGAGGGCAGAGTCTTGTCTACGCTGCCTGGCTGCCATGTCCTTGACTGCGCTGCTCCACGTGGGCCATGCTCGGGGGCGACTCTCCTCCAGGGGGGCTGGTGGTGAGGAGGGGGTTGCGGGGGGAGGCAAGGCTGGGGCAACTGCACATGTGCCCACAGAGAGGGCTCCGAGTGCCGCCTCTGGCACCTATGCCATAGGTTCGCCACCACTGTCCTAGAACTTTGGGTCTACAGTGAGGTTCAAACTGTGGACTTTTCCACCAGAAACCTTTCTCTTAGGCTTAATTGATAAGGAACTTGAAAAAAAGAAGAAGTTTGATGTTATATATGTTGACGGCAGCAAGAATACTTTATGCACAAAAATGCAAGGAAACTTTGATTCTCACAATGGATGAATGGCTGCAGAATTAATGGAGTTAGCAGATATGGCTAAATTGACTGCTTTGATTAAAGAAAAGAACATAATTAATTTTGTTTCTACTTGGAAACTGCTTTTGGACTTTATGCTTGAGGTGTAAAAAAATGAAACTTTGATTTGGGGTTTTGTTGATTAGATAGATCTGTTGTTATAGAAATGTCTAGTGTATATTATTATACAGTATAAAAGTAAAAAGTTGAGGTTTCATGTTACTAATTTATTGTACTGCACCAAAAGCATCAGAAATCAATGTTTTCTTTTTCTTTTCCCCTTTATCCTGCATTTTTTCTCTAGTCCTTTTCCTCCCTTATTTTCCAGTTATTTTCATTTTTCTTTGTACTTCTGTATTTTATATTTTGATAAACTAATAAAATATTTGAATGGCTAAAAAGAAAAGTAATGACTGTGGTCTCCTAATGCAGGGCTTTTCAACCTTTTCACCAACTCTATCACTTTTAGGATATGACAATATTTAAGTACCACTAGCAAGGTGTCAAAAACTTGATGACCAAAAAAAAAACAAAAAACTTGTTCAAATTTGCAATTGCACTGAAATGACTTATGACCATTTTTCACACTTATGACCATTGCAACATGCCCAGGGTCATGTGATTTATATTTGGATGCTTGGCAACTGATTCATATTTATGATGGTCACAGTGTCCCAGGGTCACGTGATCCCCTTCTGCAACCTTTTGACAAGCAAAGTCAATGGCAGGGCTGCTGGTGGCCAAGTGCTAAGGTGGGACTTCCTTCCTTCCCTCCTTCCCTGCCTCCCTCTTTCTCATGCCCACCTCCTTCTGAAGGAAGAATTTGAAACACCCCCCCCCCATATTTTCCCTCTTCCATATATTCATCAAACAAGGAAAAGCCTCCAGAGACAGAAAAGACAAGCTGCTGATTGAACTAGCTTAAAAGGGCACATTCCCCTTTAAGAATTAGTTACTGGCTAGAAAGGAAAGTTAAGGAGTGCAGCCGGCACTTATGGAAGAAAAAATGTAGTAAGTACTGACTGCCGTCTAAGGCAGCCTCCCCAAATGGCTCCATACATAAGTAGAGGAATGCTACAGGCAAAATCCATTCAGGAGAAAAATACTTCAAAATCCCTTGCAGCAAAAGTTAAAGCTAACAACAGCAGAGCAATAGAAGCTAACATCAGCCATCAGCCAAACAGAAATTGCCAAACAATCCTTAAGAACACAAAGCCCTCATTGCACAAATCCCAGAATTTCAAAGTCACAAAAGCACATAAAAATCCTTCCACTCTCCATCTCCCTCCCTGTCTCACCTCCAGCTGATGCTACCTTTCTTCATTTCTTGTGGAGGGCAACCCCTCCCCTGCTGCATTTCTTGCCTGTTTGTTGCTGCCAGCACAAGTGGCTGCCACAGAAGTTGTAAATCAGCTCATGGTCAGCCTGCTTGGACTCCTTGATCTCCTCTCCTCTCCCCCCCACTCTCCTCCTTCCCCTTCAGTTCAGCTAGAGCTGACTCCACCTCCTCCAGCTTTAAAGGTTTTATTAAAACTCATTTTATTAAAACTCATTTTCATTTGTGAGATGAATTTACCTTTAGTGAGATCAGTGTTGCCTTGTCTATTTTACAGGCAATTTATTTCTTGGTTCATCTCTTTCCCTTCATTCAAGTAACATTCCAGATGCCAACAATTCTTTTTCCATCATGTTTATATTTTTATTGGAAGTCAATGAAATGAAAGTGCTTACTCTGAATTTCTGGATACTTCATCATTAGGAGTATGGCCCAGCACATAGTGTTTGCTATTGTTTCTGTACCAGCACCAAATAAGTCATCTATGAGACCCATAAGGTTTTCATTACGGAAATATCCATCATTTTTCATCTTCATATTCTCCTGAAGTATATAAAGAAAATACAGGTAAGGCAACACAATCTACTCACATAACCAATATTCCTGGAGTCCATGAAGTCTTCCTATGTGGTTAATATCTCCACCCAGTGGTTTCAGCTGCCCCAACATTACTGGATTCTTAGAAGAAAAACTGTAATATCAAACAATTATACATACAAAGAAACCATTGGCACAAAGTGATCACCCATTCCCACCACCCCTTGGAGCCATTCCTCCAGAAAATGATTAATATTTATGGAGTTTTTAATGGAGAAAAAAATCCATCTGTAGTGTAGTTCTAAGCAGCTGCAGATTCTGAAAAAAAAGTAATGCACAGGGAATGACTAAAAAATGTGTTTCCTTCTATATTTCTGAAACAAGGACCTTAACCAACCAGCAGATAATTTCTATGGAGGCAAATTTTTAAAATATGTAAAAAAAATGTAATTACACACATGTATAAAATAATTCATTACTTCTCTTTGCCGAACAAGAAATGATTCAATCAAATTGCTCTGGTCATTTTCATCAAAATCTTGTAAATATTGTTTGAGGATGGTCTGTATGAAATCATGAAGTTTATTCTGATTCTTTATCATTGATTTAGGAGTAGCCAAAAGGAACCCCAACATGGGAAACAAATTATATAGCTGAAAGAATGATAAAAGAAAACATATATTATGGAAGTTGAATACCTTGAATTTCTCACATGGACATCTCAAACATGTTTATGTTCCCCAAGTCTACAAAACGAAACAAAACCCTACAATAATGAGTAAGATCACATGACTGAATGAGCTTTGAATAGTCAATATTGCTAATTAACTAAGCCCCAAATCCCATGGACTGAACCTCCACATAGGTTTTGGGAGAGAGAGTGCTTATTTTCTACCATACTATTGAATGAGTTCCCATGGGAACATTGTGTTAATTCCCAAACAAGTGGTGTGAATCATCAATGAAAAAAACTCAATGCAAGTCCTTGTCAAGGCAGCAGTTTAGTACATGTATAGAATACTGTATAAAGAAAAGGAAAGATGGAAAGATATTTTCAATGAAGACTCCCACTTTTCCAATTTGAGTGTGTTAACAAGTCTTTGCAAGGAAGGGAGAGGAAATGATGAAGCACGCATCATGAGTTCATGATGTTAAAAAGTGGTTTCCATACTTTCATGAAATGTTTGCATGCAACTACTTAAAGGTAGGATTTGAATCCTGATGTCATCATCTTCATGTTGTTTTTGGATGTAATCTTGCTACAGATGCCCAGGAGAAGCAACATGCTTTGCTTCTCAATTAAACTTTGAGAATCAATCAATCAATCAATCAATCAATCAATCAGAATATAGCTGGAAGGATCTTGTAAGTCATCTAGTCCAACCCCTGCTCAAGCAGGAGACCCTATACTATTTCAGACAAGTGACTGTCCAGTCTTTTCTTAAAAACCTCCAGTGATGAAGCATCCACAACTTCTAAAGACAGCTGTTCCACTGGTTAATTGTTCTCACTATTAGGAAGTTTTTCCTTAATTCCAGGTTGCTTCTCTCCTTGATTAGTTTCCACCCATTGTTTCTTCTCTTGCCTTTTGGTGCTTTGGAAAATAAGTTGACTGTCTTATCTTTGTGGCAGCCCCTCAAATACTGGAATACTGCTATCATCTCTTCCCCCACAGTTCTTCTTTTCTCTAGACTAACCATACCCAATTTCTGNCGCCTGGGACCGGTGACGAGGTCCAGAAGCCGGGCGCAGATGATGGATGGCGTATAAAAGAGACTCTCTCATGGACTGGCACGTAACCCTGACGAAGTCGGAAGGAGTCCGACGAAAGCTTGGTGTAGTTTTGTTTTATGTTTTATGTTATTGAACTTTGTATAGTTTGATATACTCCTGGTGTTCACAGTTTGTTTTTGGAAAGATGATCACACCCAGGAGTCACTGTTTTAGTTTTAGTGTTATTAGAAATATATATATATATACAGCTTACCATCTATTTAGAATTGGTCCAGCTGATTTATATATTTATAAATCTACATAACTGTAAGCAACTCAGAATCACCAGGAGTCAAGTGGTCTCCAAATTTCTGAATAAATATATATATATATATATATATATCAGCTGGACCAATTCTAAATAGATGGTAAGCTGTATTTTATTATACTGAATCATTATACCTTAAACTTGTGGACTCAAAATGCAGGACCCAAAACAAATAATAAAGACTTACCGAAGAGAAGCAGATGAGGGCAAAATAAAAAAAATGAAATGAGAGGTGAGAGGTGGGGGCAGTTTGGGAATGCCAGATACCAAAGAAAAACATCTGCCATTGGCACTTTGAAATATGCATCTAGGAGTGTTTTTCTAAAGGGATAACAGGCTGTGGTCTTATAGCTCTACAGATCAACTTGATTTAGCCAAGTCCATTCATTTAAGGACTGATTTTTCCACCACACTGTAGTGTACATGATAGATTAGATTTTATACAATGCAGTGATTTTAGACTGATCACCTTGGGGATGAGGAAGCCTTTGAAAGTTAAGTCCATGATGGTTGCGTGTGGCAAATTGGTGGGAACAATGTCAGCAAACCTTTGAACTTTGAACTTTGTGAATTTGAACTTCATTAGTGTAAGGCATTTTGCTTGGTGGTGTGTCTGTTGCTGAGAAACTTCAATCTCTTTTGCAATTATTTTTTTCTGTTGTATTTTTTTTCACTTACCCTTTTAACCTCTTGTGTATTTTTATACTATATGTTTCTGTTTGTTATTTTTTCTTTTTCTGTTATTATTTTAAAGAAAATAAAAGTAAGTAACAAAAACTGCACTTTACTAAAATTCTGTCTTGTATGTTAAAAAAAGGCTAGGCCTTGTCTGCAGAAATTTCAGACTCATCACCTTGGGGATGAAGAAACCCTTGAAAGTTACATCCATGGTGGTTGCATGTGGCAAATTGGTAGGAACGATGTCAGCAAACCTTTGAATTTCATGAATTACGGCATCGGTATGAGGCATTTTTGCTCTGTCTTCTGTCGTTGGCTGGAGGTCGCCAATCTCTTTTGCAATTTCTTCTTGGACTTTACCTGGGAGAATAAAATGACAAATATTACACCTTTCTGAATTTTGTTTTAAATGGGAGGTTATAAATACTACATTCTGAATGATATAGTAGTCATTCGCTGTGATCCCTGGATTGTGGCTCTTCACACAGTCACTCGTGCATTAGTCACTTCATTAATGGAATATTGTGATCTGCTCTACATGTGGCTTTCTTGAAGATCACTCAGTGACTATACCTGGCCCAGTATCTGGCAGCGTAGATAGTGTTTGTGCCTCATTATACCCATATGAGCTCATTGGACTAACTGTGGCAGACCTCTGAGTGCAATTCAATTACATTGGGCAAATTGAAACAGTTTGGGTCCTTCAATTAATGGTGGAACTCCAGGAAACGTGCCATCTCAGAACAAGTGCCTGCCCTCTGGAAAGGTACCACTCAGAGATCCAGATTGCTGGCACTCTGGTGACATTCAGAAAACTACTGACGACTTGGCTATTCCCCTCAATTTTTTGATTGGTTATGGTTGGAGCTCTGGTTAGATTTGGTTTTTGTAGGTCTTCGTGCCATTTATAAATCTACATAACTGTAAGCAACTCAGAATCACCAGGAGTCAAGTGGTCTCCAAATTTCTGAATAAAAGCAAATTTAAAAATAAATCTTTGAAGAACTAGTGCTAAAGCATAAAAGAACTTTGTCACATATTAGAGGACCAAACCAAATTCATATATGAGGGAAATGTTACAAAGATACAGAAAAACAGAGGAAATAGATGAACTTCTTGCTAATCAGTTATCTATTCTAAGGAAGCACACTACAATAACAATGGGGGACTTTAACTACCCAGACATTAATGGGGGGATAAACTGTGCATCAAGTGGGAGATGAAGCAGGTTCCTGATGATCCTAGAAGACAACTTTATCATCCAAGGAACCAGAGGGTCAATTATATTGGACTTATTTTTTACTAATAGGGATATAATGATAGAAGGGGTTGAAATTGCAGAAAGATTTCGGGAGAGTGACCATGTCATATTGGAATTTATTATAATGCAAGTGCAAGTAATAGAACAAAATCAAACTAATGTCTTAGACTTTAAGAGAGCTTATTTCAACAAATTTAAAATTTAGGAAAGATTCCATGGATGGAAATCCTAAAGGGGAAAAGAACTCAAGAAGCTTGGGAAATTCTGAAAAATGGGATTATAAAAGCCCAGTCTAGCACAATACCATTGAGAAAGAAAAATAAGAGATCCCAGATGAAAGCAGCATGATTGTATAAACAACTCTTTGATAAACTGAGAGACAAAACCGACAAGCATAAAAAATGGAAACAGGGACACATTACTAAAGCAGAATACCAACAAATAGTTCAATGCAGCAAAAACAAAGTCAGGAAAGCTAAGGCTCAGAAAGAACTAAGATGTGCAACAAATTTCAACAATAAGTTTAAAAAGCTTCTTTCAAAATGTAAAAAACAAGAAAAAAGCCAAGGAAATAATCAGTTCACTAATATGGAAGATGGCAAGAAGATGATGGGTATCATGGAGAAAATGTAACTGCTTAATTGATACTTTGCATCTGTCTTTGAACAAAAGGAAATAAATAGTCCAACCTATCAAAAGAAGAACCATAAAAGACAAAATAGGAATACAAATAAAAATAGGTAAGACAATGGTTAGAGAACACCAATCCACTGTAGATCAATTCACATCACCAGGACCAGATGGATTACATCCCAGGGTTCTGAAGGAGCTGGCAACTATATCTTGGAACCACTGAAAAAGGCCTGGAAAAGAGCTGATGTGTTACCCATCTTCAAAATAAGTAGAGGGGGGGGGGAGAATCCAGGAAATATACAGGCTAATCTGCCTGACATCAATACCTGATAAATTCCTGGAAAAGATAATCAAGCATTTTATCTGAAAACACTTAGAAACAAGCAAAGCTATTACTAGAAGCTGGTGTGGGTTTCTCAAAAACAGATCATGCCAGACAAATCTTATTGCATTCTGGAATTGCATCTACATGGAGGGAAGTATGCAGCAGGTACTCCAACAAGGTTCAGTCTTAGGCCTAATACTCTTCGACATCTTCATAACTGATATGGATGAAGGGACAGAAGAGGAATTCATCCAATTTGCAGATGACACCAAATTAGGGGGAATAGCCAACACTTTAGAAGATAGGCTCAAGTTCCAGAAGAATCCTGACAGACTTGAACACTGGACCCTCTTCAACAGAATGCAATTTATTGCTGAGAAAAGTAAGGTTTTATCCTCAGGCAAGAAAAGCAGTGACCATGAGACAAGGAGGTCCCTTATCTCCCCTGCTGTATTTATTGGTGTTGGAAGGTTTGAATAAGGATATTAGGCGAGATGAGAAAGTAAGGTATAAATATCAAAAAGGAAGTTTATAAATTGAGAGCATTTGTTGACAATTTAGTTATATTTTAGCAAGACCCCAAACCAATATAGAATATTTGTGTTTGGAGCTTTAGCAGGCTTTAAATTAAATAAACAGAAAACAACAATGTTTGTTAAGAATGTGACCTCTAAGGATTATGAAATATTGACTAAAAAGTTGGGATCCAAAAGGGAGAAAAAAGTGAAATACATGGGGGTTATATTGACAAATAGAAATGCTAAACTGTTTCAAAATATCTTTGTGTCTCTTTGGAATGATATTAAAAAGATTTATTAAGATGGGTGGTGTCAGAATCCAGTTATATTTCCTTTCTATCTATCTTCTCTGATCTAAAACCAATTCTTACCCTTTTCTGAATCCTGCCATACTCCCAAGGGGGAGGGGGATATGCATGCGGGTTTTATTACTTTCATGTCCTCTATTCACTACAAAGTAACCTTTTGTTTATTTGCCTTTGGGTCTGCTAACCATTACAATGTAACCATTTGCCTCTTATCCCATGCCCCTCTGAACTTCTCCTCCTTACCGGCCAGCTAGGAAAAGGGGTGTGTGTGAAAAGATACAGCCCTTCGGGATCTGGTTTATTTTTCTGTCATCAAAATAAGGTGTGAGGAACTGTTGAATGGTCGTACACAATGGAGCTGGATTGATGTTATCTTTTCTGGATTTAATACCTAGAAATCTGCTGGTCTGAACCGCTCGGAAGAACTGTAGGGTGGGGTTTGCTTAGGGACACTTTAAAACATCGATTTGTAGGGAAATCCCTTAGATCCTGTCTAACATGCCTGCTATTAATTTCTCTTAATAAAAGTTCCTGTTGGAAGAGGTCATTTCCAAGAGTCCTGCTTTCTTAAGATGTGGATTGAAGTGGTTCCTTACAGGTAGAATCTCTGTAATTAAGATGAATGTTTTACCAAAGATACTTTTTCTGTTTCATACTTTATCAATACTTATAACTGATACTCCATTTAAACAATGGCAGATGGACATCTCTAAGTTTATATGGCAAGGGGAAAAAAAACAAGAATGGGATATAAATTACTGCAAGGTGCTAAAAAAAATGAGGGGGAGGTTTGGTTTACCAGTTTTGAAATTATAGTTTGATGCCTGTTGTTTGGTCTGACTAAAACTGTGGGTGACACTCCAAAATAAGAGATTACTTAAGCTGGAAGACCATGAATTAGGATTTGGATGGCATGGCTATTTATGGTATGATTAGGTGAAAGTAAATGTTGATTTCAATGATTACTTTG